ATTTACAAAAATATATGCAAAAATTTTCGAAAATAAATGAAACAAAAAATTCCGGAGATTTACGGTTCGAAAATTTTTGAAAATTTTTTCGAAAATTTACGAAGGTATCGTATAATTCCGAAAATTTAACGAGGCAAAAATTTTCGAAATATTTCGCCTTTAAAAATTTCCTGATGAAAGTCACCGATAGGTATCCAATAGTAAGAAAAAAGTTCCCGATATTGAGGAATATACAGTGACCGATATATACACGATATACTATACTGATATATTAAAGATATGTGCCTGATAAAAAATAAATGAAATCGGACACCCAATAAGTGTATAATATATTTTAAAAAAATACCAAAAAATCAGAGCCCGATATGTGTCTGATATCTGTTAATATGTACCCGATATGTACCCGAACTTCGGCACACTCACTCTACCTATCGGAAGCCCGATATATTAAAATTTATTTAAAATCGGGCATCTATCGCATACCTATCGAGTGCCCGATAGGTGTACGATAGGTGCTAATTTTTCACAATTTGACCAGTGTATATTTGCTATTAACGATTATAATTCACTTACCTGGTCTCTTCCAAAAACGAGAACAAAATTCTTCAAAATATCGCTCACTAGTTCTACTCCTCTTTTCAGTTCTACTTCCAGTTATATACTGTTCCATTAACTGGTAAAATTATATATTATCAATTAAAGATAGGCTAACGTCAGAAAAATGTATTTCCTTGATATACGAACATGAAATAAATACTTACGGTATGATCTCTTACAAGATTTTAAATTTATTATTACATTGTTGTCCTGTATAAGTGCCCCCAAATCGTTTGTTGATTATATTTGCAATAGTATTTCAAAAATTCACTCTACTACTTCCAGGAATATTATAGTATTCAGCATTTTGATTTCTTCTTTCATCGATTAGTAAGCGCAATTGATCGTCAGTTCACATCACAAAAAAAATATTTAGTGTGGTAATGGTATTCAACTGAGATATGCTTACGATGTGTTATTTTTCATAGAATTATATAAGAAAAAAATTTGTCGCATCTACATCGTATCTTCATCACACCTTCATCGTGCTTATTTATGGTCTAAAAGTATGGATCTAAATATAGGAACATCTTCGTACATCTCGGATTTGCACATCTCAAAATGATGATCCTAAATGAAACACCTCTTATCACCACGCACAAAAATTAATTATTAAAAAAAAATGACCATTTAGATCTAGTTGCTTTATTAATACAATATAAAATACATGTGAAGTGGGATAACTAACTATCCGCTATTTTTTGATAAATTTTTCTCATACGTGATGCCTCTTGCTTTCGGGTTCATCACATGCGGTTAACCAGAATTGGTATTACATCCGAAATAGAAGTGATTGGTGAAAAAATATCTATTAATTTACGCTTTCACATTTACCTCAGTTGAATTCTTGGATTCCGTCTGGTTAAAAATTTGTATGAATTGATTATGAATTTTTTCTCATTCATTCATAAGATCATCTAGCCATGCAGTACTCAATCCACTTTTTATTATACCACAACATAATAATTCTTCACCAATCAGCCTATCCTGATCTGTTAAAAATTTATGATATTTTCTGATATCTTCATTCCTTTTAATTCCTCTACGATAGAATTATATATCTCTCTCCAAATCACCACGGAAGCATCCCATGCTTCACCTTTTTTTCTCAGCCTCTGTAATAACCGAAAATTTCTCGGGATCCATTTTATGTTTGATGGCATATTGGCGTAAGCCAACCTCTGGTTGATAAAGGTGGGTTTTGTTTGGTATCCCTCCCTGAGTTTCCGGTAAACTCTATACAGCAATAATAACTTTCTTTTGATTGATATGAAAAGGGCAATTAAGAAAATAGTGATCATTTTTACCTAGACAGCTCCAGTCGCCACATATTCCTAAACATGTATGTACTTCTTTGCATATTGAACATTTGGCTTCTGGATCTGTATATTTAAATACATCTCAATACCATACATTCGAATTAGTGTAAGACAAGAAAGGGAAGCGTTTATGTACTGCATCATGGATTATACTTTTTTCTTCTGGAAATTTAGAAATTTTGATAACACAATCCTGTGAAAGGTAGTTATCAGTCTT